GAAAAACTGAAGCTGGGAATGTCTTGGGATCCCTCCGGACTCTTGGAAGAAGTGGCTAAGTATGGGAAGTCTGGACTTTCCTGCTGAACCTGCTGCCTCCACGACCCGACCTCGGATAAGCGGTATATAATGGATAATTGGCTGGACACTTTTCATCAAACAATTTGGATGGAACAGTTTTCAGTGAAAAACGCAACGAAAACTAATTATTTTAAAATAATTGATGATAGCATATGTGTATATACACGCACATATGTACAGATGCATATATGCATGTGATTGTGAGCGCAAATGCTTGTGCGTCTGTGTGCTGTGCGATTGGCTGGCCATCAGTTTAGGGTGTGTCCCGCCTACTGCGTATCCCTACAGCTGGGACAGGCTTCAGCACCCCCCCGCAAAACCCGTCCTGATAAAGCGGATCAGAAAATGTAAGTGTGTGTGTGTGTGTGTGTGTATGTATATATATATATTAGAGCTGTCAAACAATTAAAATATTTAATCTAATTAAAAATGCAACTGTCATAATTAACTCAAATTCACTAAAAATTAATCGTGATTACTCACGCATTTTTTTATCATTTCTGAATTTCGTTTTATATTTTCTTGTCCTATTTTTCCCCATTTTAATGCTCTCATCAGCATGGAATCATGAATCAGTTTTCTATGTGCAAAATGCAAATATTTACTTAAATAACAATTTCGATTTTCAATTTTACATGAACATTTTTTACTTGGAGCAGTTATTCACACATAATCTCTCACTATTAGCGCCACAGAATATGTCACACAATCATTCAATAGCACAAGAGACAAGTCTGCTACTAACAAATTGCACGTTTATTAGCGCCACAGAATATGTCACACAATCATTCAATAGCACAAGAGACAAGTCTGCTACTAACAAATTGCACGTTTATTAGCGCCACAGAATATGTCACACAATCATTCAATAGCACAAGAGACAAGTCTGCTACTAACAAATTGCACGTTTATTAGCGCCACAGAATATGTCACACAATCATTCAATAGCACAAGAGACAAGTCTGCTACTAACAAATTGCACGTTTATTAGCGCCACAGAATATGTCACACAATCATTCAATAGCACAAGAGACAAGTCTGCTACTAACAAATTGCACGTTTATTAGCGCCACAGAATATGTCACACAATCATTCAATAGCACAAGAGACAAGTCTGCTACTAACAAATTGCACGTTTATTAGCGCCACAGAATATGTCACACAATCATTCAATAGCACAAGAGACAAGTCTGCTACTAACAAATTGCACGTTTATTAGCGCCACAGAATATGTCACACAATCATTCAATAGCACAAGAGACAAATCTGCTACTAACAAATTGCACGTTTATTAGCGCCACAGAATATGTCAAACAAGCAAATATCAGTGTATCAAGCTCTTAGAATAGTACCCAGCTCTTACCGTGCGTCAATAGGATGGAGAGCCAACACTCCGGGTAGCGCGCGCTTCAATACCAGCTGGGCGTCCGTACGCAACCCGCAGCAGACAGACTCTACCAAGAGTATCCAAAGTTCTCCTTTTATACTCTAAGTGTTTGTTCTTAACAAAGGGCTTTGCTCAACATCATAAACATCTTTTTATGACCTTGCTGGTTATACAAAGCTATTGCGAGTTATTGCGACATTGCTGGTTATACAAAGCTATTGCGAGTTATTGCGACATTGCTGGTTATACAAAGCTATTGCGAAACATCTTTAAACACGGAAAAACAACACAATATAATTATTCTTACTTCAGCCAGTCAGTGGTATTTCAGACTCGACGTGCTATGATGATAGCTCAGTTTACGACTGCGAAACATACAGGTAACTTTGGTCTTGTCAGTGGAACAATCTGGCAACTTTTTAAAAGTAAACTTTCCATTCATAAACTCTTAAAGTATCCGTTTTCGGTGTCCCGCGCTGCCGTGGCTGGCAAAACAAACGTGCGTGGACATGTGCAAGCGCGCTTGTTGTTTTGTTTCTGGTTTATTTATAGAGCAACGTAACATCCGCTGTGACGTCTGCCGCGTTAATCTCGCGAGAAAAAAATTAATCCCGTTCAAATTCATTTAAATTAATGCCAATAAAAACGCGCTAAACTGACAGCTCTAATATATATATATAAAATAAATGCCACACATCGGCCTCTATCCAGACAATCTGTGAATCTGCAAAGGAGATTTTGGGAAAAGTGCGCAGTGTGAAAGTTACCATAGTCACACAAAATAGTTTTTTGGGGGGTGGGAGGAGCGGTGGGCACATATTGTGATGTTATGGTGTTATTAAAAGGTGGATTAGATTAATACCCACTGAAGGCCCTGGTCCAAAACTCACCGCCTGTCACTGGTAGATATACCTACGAGCACTGCGATTTGGAGCAGTCTAGAGCTAACAAAGCAGGTCATGAAAGAAATGGAGAGATCTGGTAGTTCCCTGATAGGGAAGAAACAGGATGATAAGGACAATTTCGTTATCAGTCTTGCAGTCTGTCAATGGGTGGTTTTAGACTGTGATAGATCGCTGAAATATTGAGATGACCAATCCATTTAAGATGATGCGGCTTTCATCTATTGTATATTCAAAAATGCCAGTTATAAATCATTATTTAGTTCTATCTGAAATGTGATGTACAAATCAATTTTGACTCGCTAAAAATAAAAATAGCAACGTTAAAACAAAGATGTTCTTTTTCATTTGAAGAGGTTGAAATAGGATGCTGTTTGTTTCCTGTATAAACAAAAGCATGTTTTGACTGGATTTGCTGTCGAAAGCGGCGCAAGACAACGGCACAGATACAAGAGGTTGCTTAGGAACATGAATTCACACATAGCAGCTGTGCCTCTTTAGAACTCAGTAATGCATTCAGCTCAATTTGCCCTGCACCATGTGCCCTAAATTCAATTGCTCTCCTGTGGCTCTGCCAAGACAAACGGCCATATCAATGCTTTTAGTGAATACCCGTGCAGGATGAAATAGTGCAAGGGTCTTTCCTGAATAAATACAAATGGCAGGAGAAAATCTGAATCAAAGAAGGCAAAAGAGTGCCGCGCAATCTGACAGTCATCGGTCTGTCTCTGATATCTGTCACTGCCATTTCAACGGTTTTTCAATCAAAACAAATCTATGTAGGATCTGTTGAAGTTCAATGATGATCTTTGCCTATGAAGCACCAACAGTAACTTTGTTCAATATGTTACCCTTTCATTTTAACAGTCAATTTCCAAGCGTTTTGAGATTTACCGACACCGATGCCCCAGTTTTCTCATTTTCATATTCTGTTCCAGAACAATTAGCAACGGGGGCAGCAATTAAATATTCGGTGTCCTTTTATTATTATTTTGATAAATGCCCAATGTGGCACTCAAGGCTTTTGTAGCCAGCAGTGTCCATAGAAATCATGCAAGTCAAAAATACTGCACTAATTTCTCCAATGCATGGAAGCCCCATTTTTTTCTTTATGGAGCACAAAAGGAGTGCCAATGCAGTGAGTGGGGTGGATCTTAAGCAGCACATACCAGGGAGACTTTCAAACAAAGCCTTGTCTTAAAATAGTCAGTACAGTTACAATGTAGCATGACTGTCAAAGTAAACACCATGCACTTATTTATATTTATACTGTTTTTATCATGCATTTACTGTGTTGCTCACATTCAGATATGCTATGATGTGCCCATAAGAAAAGTGGCATATATGTCAAATTATCGCGTTAATTGCGATTAATTAATTACAGTACATTTGGTGTGTTATTTTTTTGGATCGCGTTAATCTAAATTTTAATCTCTGCCTTTATTGTTTCTGTAGGTGGATTGCCTTTTTCTAATAGCCCTTTTTATGTGTTGGCTTCCTGTGTTCGAGTTGTTGAGGGTGGGGAAACAACTGTCAGTCACAGCATGAAGCGGACATTGATTGGCTGCCATTATGTTGGGGCTTGTTTAGCCGAAGCTGACAGGCTCCCATTGGAGTTGGGCGGGCTTAGTAAGCAACGGTGAGGAGTGGAGAGGTGAAAATGGAGCAGCATGTGAGAGTTCTCGGCACAATGAATGGACAATTTACATTTCAAAAACACCCTGACGACACAATTGATAAAGGTAGAGTGTTGTACCTAATTTGTAAGGAGTTTGCATACCACTGAAGCAGCTCAAATTTAGCCTCCTACATCAATGCAAAGCACCCAGTCGCGAGTGCAGCCACAGCTAACGTTAGCACCGAAAGCATTAGTAATATAGCGAGCGAGCCATACATAGCAAAGCTCTTTGGCAAACTAAATTCGAGAACACCCCACGTTCGAGGTATAGTTGATGTGTCCTCTGTCGACTACTAGAAGTGATTGATGTTTATTTCAGCACTTTTAGTTTGTCATGATAAACAGTGCTATTTCTGAAGTGCTAACTTACAGCACTGTCATTTAAGGGTCTTTTTTATTTATTGTTTATTATCTGAAGCAAGTTGTGTTGAATACTTGTATTGCTCAGAAAATTGTCCTTACTGTTTTTGATATGTTAACCAAAGCACTTTTTAAGGACCTGATTTTCTATTTTGTTTTTCTTTTGTAATTTTTGGTAGATTTACAAAAACAAACTAAACAGTGATATTCCCCCTCTTGGTCGAAACTAAAGGTTGCAGGTAGGACTTTGACTAGTCTCAAATACAGCAGAAAGTAAATGGCTAGGACTGCAATCAGCAGAAAGTAAATGGCTAGGACTGCATCTCTCCAAGTCTGTTGAAAAACAATAAAATACTTTATCATGACACTTTTTCTTTTATCTTTTGATCTGCCTCAATAATGTAACAAATTTAAAATGAAAATAGGTATTTTCTCAAATTTTTACGAGATTAAAATGTAGATTAATTCGATTAATTAATTGCAGACCCTAATTAATTAATCACTTTTTTTTTTAATCGCTTGACAGCACTACATATAATTTAATTTTTTTTTGTTATGTACATTGATTTGAGTGACTTGTCTTTTCCTCCAGACTCCCTCGGTGGCCCTTTCCCATCCACATCCCACCGCTGTCATCACAAACACAAGAGATGTCTGCCTATCCAGTGTGGAAGTGTTTGTGGTCCCCTTCCAGCCAGCCCACTTCTCTTTCACCCTAATGCGAAGGGTTCCCAAATTGTCATGGACCTTGCCCAGAAGATAGTCAAGAGGCAGGGGAGTTTCTGCAATGCCATCACTTTCAGCAACAGGCCCATAGCCCTGTACGAGCAAGTCCGACTCAAGGTAATCCATTTAATATTTGGCTGGATGATAAATCCGTTCGAATGAAGTGCAACAAGGAAAAACGGAAGACAATAATTTTCAAATCATGTTCAACCGCTATGTAACTGAATTCACTACAAAGACAAGATATTAAATATTCAAACTGATAAACTTTACTGTTTTAAGCAAATAATCCCAAACATAGAATTTTGGTGGCTGCAACATTTTCCAAAAAAGCTGGGACACGATCATGTTTACCACTGAGTTACATCACATTTTATTTTAACAGCATTGAATTAACACTGTCAACTTCCTCAGTTTCACAAATCTTTGAAGCTTTGACGCGTTTCCATTCTTGCTTGATGTACAGCTTCAGCTGCTCAACATTCTGGCGTCAATGTTGTCGTATTTTACACTTCACACATTTTCAATGGGAGACAGGTCTGGACTGGAGGCAGACCAGTCTTGTACCTGCACTCTTCGATTACGAAGCCACGCTGTTGTAACACGTGCAGAATGTCGTTTGACAGTGTCTTGCTGAAATTAAGGCGTCCTTGAAAAAGACATTGCTTGGATGGTAGCATATGTTTCTCCAAAACCTGTATGTACTTTTCAGCATGAATGGTGCCTTTCCAGATGACACAGATGACTACCCATGCGATTGGTACTAACACAGCCCCATACCATCGCAGATGCTATGATCTAGTGCTGAACTGTTTATATGAACAGTGGTTTTCTGAAGTGTTCCTGAGCCCGTGCAGCATCCTTTACTCATCGATGTCAGTTATTGATGAAGTGTCGCCTGAGGGATTGAAGATCATGGGCATTCAATATTGTTTGCCATTCTTGCCTATTACATGCAGTGACTTCTCTGAACCTTTTGATGATATTACGGACTGTCGATGATGAAATCCCTAAATTCCTTGTAGTTGTAAATTGAGGAATGTTGTTCCACTATTTTCTCATTCATTTCATCACAAAGAGTTGTGAGTCGCGGCCCATCTTTGCCTGTGAATGGCTGAGCAATTCAGTGAAGCTTCTTTTATACCCAATAAAGGCACCCACCTATTCGCATTTAGCCTGTTCACCCGTGGGATGTTCCAAACAGGTGTTTGATGAGCATTCCTCAACTTTCTGAGTCTTTTTTTTTTTTTTATCACCTGTCCCAGCTTTTTTTGGAACCAGTTGCAGCCACAAAATTCTAAGAAACAATAACGTGTATTTGAACATGGAATATCTTGTCTTTGTACTGTATTCATTTAAATATAGGTTGAACATAATTTGCAAATCATTGTACTCTTTGTATTTGTTGAACACAATGTCCAATTTCATTGGAATTGGGTTTGTATGAAACTACTGTTGATTCAGTTCCAATGTCTATGGTACAATAGAGAAAAAAAATTACAATCGATAATCATGGGAAACTGGTGCCGGAGCACATTCAGATTTATGTTCATGTTGCGGATCATAAAATTTCACATAATGGTAAAGACAATTTTGGCAGAACAAAAATTCAACAGACTTTCATTTATGTATATACGTGTCTGTGTGTGTGTGTGTGTGTGTGTGTGTGTGTGTGTGTGTGTGTGTGTGTGTGTGTGTGTGTGTTCCTTTTTTTTTTTTTTGATGGCTCCCAATTCCAACATCACCTTATGATGCTGTCTCAAATCTGTTTTCTTCATGGGCAAAGTCATCTCAAACTGCTAAAGTTAAATTTGTCTTGTATCTTTGTACTGACTGAATCTCTTGGTTAACTTTTTGGTCCACTCACAAATCACTGACTTCAAAAAACACTTTTTTTTTTCCTCCCTGTCAGATTACTAAAAAGCAGTGTTGTTGGAGTGGAGCTCTGCGTCTGGGGTTCACCTCCAAAGATCCCTGCAGGATCAACCCAGACAACTTGCCAAAGTACGCCTGCCCAGACTTGGTGTCCCAAAGCGGCTTCTGGGCGAAGGCTCTACCTGAAGAGTTTGCTAATGAGGGGAATGTTATCGCCTTTTGGGTTGACAAGAAGGGCCGTGTGTTCTACCGCATAAACGAGTCCAGCCCCTTGCTGTTTTTCAGCGGTGTCCGAACCACCGAACCCGTCTGGGCTCTCATTGATGTTTATGGTCTGACCCGTGGAGTGCAGCTGCTAGGTAAGCTGGTTGATCTGGTTTAGCAACTAACTAAAATCTAGCTGCCAAGAGGCTACATTTTTACTTGTTTTTAAACATTCAAAAGTGTGTTTGTGTGATGTTTTCCTCATCCTTTGTAGACATGTCTAAAAAAAAACATTTCACATTTTCATTTACAAATCCAATTCCAATGAAGTTGGGATGGTGTGTTGAACATAAATAACAACAGAATACACCGGTACCTCTCTTTACGAACATATCTTCAGACGGAATTTTCAAGTTACGAAACGCCTCAACAGGACAATATTGCCTCTTGTTACGAAAGAAATTTCAAGATACGAAAGGTAAAATACAGTAAGGGCTGCTTCTCCATTGCGAGACTAATAAAGGTTTTCTTACTCGCAGCTCCGAGTTTTCTGAATGCAACATACTTATAGCTGCTCTGCCATTGGCTATTCATGAGCATCATCCTGGCATCCCATTGGCTAAGAGGGACCTCTATTGCATGTGTATATGTGTGTGGATAGATATGTGTCTATGCAGCGTCCTTGTCATTTCTCCCTCGGGCCATGGAGGTGTTTTCCGATGGTTTTACGTACATGTGAATCACCCAGAACGCTCACTACACTGATGTTTGCCTTGGACATTTTCAAAGGTTTGTCAAAAGCCAACAAAAGCAACCGTCCTTGGATCAGTACTTTACAAAACATCAGACAAAACCCACTTCTGTCAGAGAACATGAACAAAAGAGGGCAACAAAAAAAAAATGAGGACGCAGTTAAAAGTTAAATGACCATTTTTATTCTTTCTTCTTTTTTTTTTTTACATTATATAAAACACTCATTTATTGCACAATAATCTAATTTAGCATGTATTTGTTATATATTTTGATGCATTTTTATGCTTTATAAAACATTTGTTTGAATTTTGGGGGGGTTGGAACGGATTAGGGCATTTAGATGGAAAACATCTCTCTTCTTATAAGATTTTCTAGTTAAGAAATTTCCTCCAGAACATATTAATTTCGTAAGTAGATGTATCACTGTACAATGATTTGCAAGTCATGTTCAACTTATATTTAATTAAATACACGACACAGACAACATATTTAATGTTAAAACTGATAAACTTTATTTTTAGTAAATAATCTTACATTTAGGAATTTATGGCTGCAACACATTCTAGAAATGCTGGGACAGGTGGCAAAAAAGACCTGAGTGTTGAGGAATGCTCATCAAACACCTGTTTGGAATATCCCATAGGTGAACGGACAAACTGGGAACAGGTGGGTGCCATAATTGAGTTTAAAAGAAGCTAACCCGATTTGCTCAGTCATTCACATGCAAAGTTGGGGAGTGAACAACTGCGTGAGAAAGTTTAAGGAGGATGATCCTCAACGTACAATTGTCAGGAATTTAGTAAACTCATCTCAAAGCCACTACGAGGTTCAGTTAAAAAAAAAAAAAAAGACAATTTTAGACCATTACAAGAAGCTATTGGCACTGATTTTACCACAAAAACAGAAAAATATACTTTATAATCATCATGGAATATGTCACAAATTTCACCAATGTGATACTACCAGAGGTGTGAAATCCAAGTCCAGAAAGTTAAAAATCCTACCAAAGTTTGGCTGTACCTTTCGGTGCTTCTTCTCCTCAAGAGCTGTTTACTTGCTGGTGGCTGAAGCCAAAATGTGGCAGGGTCTTTACTTTCTGGACCTGGATTCAACACCTCTGGATACTATGTATCCCGACTTTTGCACTCCTCTGAATAATAATACAGGGCAATGAACATTTTCATATAATACCATGAATCATATTGTAATATGATTGCATAGCACCGGAGGGCTTATGCCTCTCATGCATGATGCTGGAATGGTGTAAGATGGTGGTAATGCTTCTTAGACAAATATATTAATTTTATTGCTCGGTAAAAACAACATTAAAGAAGTAGAAGGTGCAAAATAACATTCACATAGCCTAAATAAAAAGGCAATTTGAGTAATTTCCCCCAGACTTCACAGAACCGTTCAGGGTGAAACTTGTTGACACTCGTTTCTTCAATGATTCTGCCCTGGGACCAGTTTTGTACTGTGGTTCGGTACCCATCTTTCCAAGTTCACAGTTTTGAAAAGCAGAAGTCCCCAAAGATTGCACAACGTTGGTTACATATTAAGCAAAATGTAGGTTTGGTGAAAGGAGTGTTTCAGTCAGAGTAGAAATCTGCCAAGTTTACACATTTCATAAAAATCTGTGCAAGACGAGCAACATTTGCCAAAAATAAGTGTCAGAATGCTGTGTGTGTTTGGAATGGCCACTTGAACCTGAGTAAAATGCTCCAAGAATTTTGAAAATAGGATGATTGGTTCCGGAAAAAAAAAATATTTTTCAAGGTGGAGGGATTGCTTTTTTGGAGAGTTATCTTCTTTGTGCACCTATAGTCCAAAGAACACCACCTTCAAATTCAAATTTCGTTTTTTGTCATATCTACTCGACCCGTTAGTTTGGTCTGCTACTCGGGCAAGCTTCACTTCAATATATATATAGATATATATATATAGATATATATATATATCTATATATATCTATATATATATATATATAAACAATAAGCTTATATTCTGAAATGTTTTTGAGGACATATTGTACTTTGCATAGCTTCATTTACTCCAATGTGACTTTAGAGATTGTGCCACACAAGCGATGGTTAGGAACTTGTCAAAATAGCTTCAGCTTTGCATTTCCATTGTGTCTGATCGAGAAAATATGCTCACAACTCACAGCTGGTCACCTTATTATCACGATTCTCATAGTTATAACTTTTATTGCCCAGGCGGTTGAAGTTGACATAAGTTGAGATGTTCATATAAACTCGGAAGATTGGTCTAATTTTTAATGACTTGGAATGTGTTGACACGAAGTGTCCAAGTCATGTGGTTTCCATGCAATGGGAAGCAGAAGATTTGGCTGGCTCTTAGGTCTGCTTTAAACTAAACAAGTCTGTGTCAATCCACATTTAACAAAAAACAATCAACTTTCTGGTACTGATACAGTACATCCCAGAACTTTTGAGATTGCTCATTGCCCGAAGTGACAGTTTGGAAGGTAGTTAAACCTTGTCGCTGGCCATCCTCCTAACCCGCTGCATTAGCAGGAAGTGGTTTTAGCTGCAAGAAGGTGGATATCAGCGAGTCAGTCAGACAAATGCGGTGAAAGATGAGCTGAACTCTACTAATGAAACTGAAAGAACAGTAGAGCATGACCTTTCCCTACCATAATTCCTTGAATGTCTTTTGCCAAGGCCACACACAGACGAACTATGTTTTATATGAATGTTATAGTCATGACTATAATATATATATACAT